ATGTTCCAAAGACATTTTTTTTGTTGTACGTGTTACTGTACTAAAACTTTTATGTTCACGAGACATCCTTCGGAAGATGTTGCTAAGGGGGAGGTGGTGACGAGGGAGAGGGAGGGGAAAAGGGGAGAAGTGGGGGGGAGAGAGGAGAGGGTGGGGAAATGAGGAGGAGATAGGGAGGAAAGGGTGGGAATGGTGTAAAGGAGGGAAGGAAGGGGGAAAAGAGGGATTAGGAGGAGTTAGGGGGGTGGTGGGAAGGGGGGGAGGCGATGAAGGCTGGAAACAGGAGAGAAGGAAGAGAAGAAAGAAACCCGAAAACAAAGATGAAGAGGGAAGGAAAGATGGTGGAGGTAGAGGGAGTGAGGGAAAGAAGGCCGAGAGGGAGGGTGGAGATGGAGGGAGTGAGGGTGAGGGAAGAAGGGCGTGAGGGAGGGATGGTGGTTGGGGGGGTGGGGGGTGGGAGGTGAGCTGCATCACACACTGTCATTACACTTTTTTGTGATTTTCCTTTGGTGTTTGGTAAAATTATTTAAGCAAGTGGATGCATTCTTTAAAGTGCGCAGTATGTGTGTCTCCATCTGTCGGTTTATGTCTACACACACACACACACACACACACACACACACACACACACAAACACACACATGTATACTGTATGTATTACTTTAATTATGCATCTGACACACACGATACGCCGTCCTGATGCCCTGACACACCGTCCTGATGCCCCGACACCCCATCCTGATGCCCCGACATCTTATCCTGATGCCCCGACACCCATGTTACCCCGTCCTGATGCCTTGACACCCCATCCTGATGCCCTGACACCCCGTCCGGATGACCTGACACCCAAGATACCCCGTCCTGATGCCCTGACACCCCATCATGATGCCCTGACACCCCATCCTGATGCCCTGACACCCCTTCCGGATGACCTGACACCCAAGATACCCTGTCCTGATGCCCTGACACCCCTGTCCTGATGCTCTGACACCCAAGATACCCCGGTCCTGATGCTCCCATTCCCATCCTGATGCCCTGACACTCCCCGATGCCCTGACACCCATACCCTGTCCTGATGCCTTGACACCCCCATCCTGATGCCCCCTGACACCCCATCCTGATGCCCTGACACCCCTGTCCGATGACCTGACACCCAAGATACCCCGTCCTGATGCCCTGACACCCCGTCCTGATGCTCTGACACCCAAGATACCCTGTCCTGATGCCCCACACCGCTCTGATGCTCTGACACCCAAGATACTCCGTCCTGATGCCCTGACACCCCTGTCTTGATGCTCTGATACACCGTCCGGATGCTATGACACCTAAGATACTCTTCGTGATGCCCCTGATACCCGTCATGATGCCCCGACACCCCGTCCTGATGCCCCGACACCCAAGATACTTGACCCAATGCCCCAATACCTGGTTCCTGATGTCCTACCGCCCACGCTACGGTATCCCCCTCTTGAAGTGTCCCATCTCGTTGTGATATCCTTCGTTCACTTCCAGGTATATCACACCCGCATGTCCTAATACTCTTCCTCCCCCTATTCCGTCCCCATATCCAGTACCCTTATACTTATCCGTCCCCTTATCCCGCTCACTTATCCCGTGTCAGTGTCAGTGTCTTAAATTTACAAAAGTTCACACAGGAGTAAAAGTTCTATCCTGTTCCATCTCCTCCTTGATATGCAACGTCGTCCTTCGCCATCCCCTCCTTGGACTGCCGAAGAGGACTCCAGCCGTCTGTCTTTCAGTTGAGCATAACACTTTCGTTTGTTTTGACAGCACCGCTCATATAAATCACTACAAGGCGTTTTTAACCATGGGTCGGCCTCTCTCTCTCTCTCTCTCTCTCTCTCTCTCTCTCTCTCTCTCTGACTCGAGACAGAGATACGATACTGGAGAGGTTGGATTATATGATGGAGAAAATGTTCATGACAAGGAATGATAAAGAGCCTGAACTAGGGAAGAAGAAGAAATGAAGAAAGAAGAATAAGAAGAACAAAAGGAATAATAATAATAATAATAATAATAATAATAATAATAATAATAAGAAGAAGAAGAAGAAGAAGAAGAAGAAGAAGAAGAAGAAGAAGAAGAAGAAGAAGAAGAAGAAGAAGAAGAAGAAGAAGAAGAAGAAGAAGAAGAAGAAGAAGAAGAAGAAGAAGAAGAAGAAGAAGAAGAAGAAGAAGAAGAAGAAGACTGAAATGTTGAGATTTTTACTGGAGAAGTGAAGTGTTTGGCTGAGTTGTAAGACGCTGGCGGAGTTGGCAGCCTTAGCTCGTCCTGTCTCCCACACACACACACACACACACACACACACACACTCCTTCAACCACACACACCAGAGACACATCTTCACACACCCCAGCCAAGTTCTCTGTCAGGATTCTTAAACATTCACCCTTTGATTTTCTTTTTACGTGAACTGTATTTAATTTTTTGGGGTCACGAGAAAAAATATTTTCATTTAAAATTTTTTGTCGATAATTTTCTTTCTTTTTTTTATTGGTTGAGTATAGTAAGTAGATATTGTTATGTGTATTAGTTAAGGGAAAACATAAATATCGTAAGTGGTTTTTCTTTGTTTCAGAATCTGCCGAGAACTAGTTGAAGGTGCGGAGGTTCACACGTTACCCGCAGGTATGTGGCAGATCTTCACTCCAGATTGTTCACGGCGAGCGACTGAGATGTGAAGACTCCGACAGGGATGGCAAAGTGACCAAGGTGAGAAAATGACATCTGGCAGATTTATCTCAGTCCCTCAAAAGCGGAACTTGCTAGGTAGGGAGAGATAGGGAGCGAGAGAGGGAGGGAGGGAGGGGTTGGCTCGCGTGTGTGCCGGGAGAGCCAGATTACTCCACGTATAATGACCAGATATGCAAATTCTCGACAGACGGTCACCCTCAGGTCGCGTCGACTCATCAGGAGTTTTTACCGAGGTGTGTTTTGTTGAGGTGGTGAGCCGGGGGTCCCCAACTCCTAGTCTGTTTACGAATAAATTATGAGGTACGCTCATAATTTATGCTGACGTTTACCATAATGGATGATTATATATATATATATATATATATATATATATATATATATATATATATATATATATATATATATATATATATATATATATATATATAAACAAACTGACTATTCGCTGTCTGAACCAAACTTTTGGTTACTTAGATAATTACGAATTTAGTTATTTTTTATGAAGTTTATCGTATATTTAGCATTACTGAATATAATGAAAATTTCCGAAAAATCTAAAATATTTTGAAATTATCGTTATGTTGCATAAATTATTAATAAATAAATAAATAAATAAATAAATAAATTCAATAAATAAACAAATAAATAAATATAGAGTATATACAGAACTGTATTAATTTCACGACATAGGACACTGCCGGGCGGGTCCCTCACTTGGTCCGCTGCTCTCACTCGTCTCCAGGTACTAGAGTGTAACACCTACAGTCTTTACCTTATATTACATGACTGTTTTCGAGTCACTATATACTGCCAGGATGAAGCCGCAGTGAAGCACCTCAACCACACCGACAGTTGTCTATCACACCTGCGACACATCACACCTGCGACACATCACACATCACACCTGCGACACATCACACCTGCGACACATCACACCTGTGACACATCACACCCGCGACACATCACACCTGCGACACACATCACACCTGCGACACATCACACCTCACACCTGCGACACATCACACCTGTGACACATCACACCTGCGACATCACACCTGCGACACATCACACCTGCGACACATCACACCTGCGACACATCACACCTGCGACACATCACACCTGCGACACATCACACCTGCGACACATCACACCTGCACTATTATTTCTACCTCTATAACTATAATCGACACAATTATATTAAAGTTTCAATAGACATCAATAGCCATACGACCACTATTTCCTTTGTCTTGGCTACAGTAACGTGTTGTAGTACTGTAGCCCCGCTTATAACACTTGAATACAGGAATACACACATTCTAGACTGCCAGGAGGGTACAGGAGGCGTCTTAGCTCTCCTCAGCGGTACAGCGGCCTACACCTACAGGAAAGTTACAGTAGCTACAGTACATGTATTCTAGGTTAGGTTAGGTTAGGTTAGATAATTTGTTCAATAATTTGTTTATTATTAGTGAAGGAAAGATATAGATTTAATGGCCTATTGAATATTATGTGAACTCGTATTCTTCAATTTCTTTCGGTTCACCTGAACTTTAGACACCCCCCCACCAGTTTATTTCACCTTAATATCAACGAACTTTAAAGCTAACTTAACTTAATCTTCCTAACTTAACCTAGCCTTCCTAACTTAACCTAACCTTCCTAACTTAACCTAACCTATTGGAATTTAACCTAACCTAATCTAACCTAACTTAACTTAACCTACCGTAATTTAATCGAACGTAATGTAACGGAACTCAACCTAACCTAAAATAACTGAAGGTAAGCAAATCTAACTTAACCTAATCTACCGTAACTTAACCTAACCTAACCAAGATTATCCCAAAAATGTAAATAAATAAATAAATAAATAAATAAATCAATAAAAACTGCTACACGTGACCAACATTCTCACAAACATCTTATTAGAGTGTGTGTGTGTGTGTGTGTGTGTGTGTCACAGTCATTAACGTACTCAACAGGTGTGACAATAATAATTCACAGGTGTTTTGCATGACAGGTAAGAATGTGACGTTATATAATGTGAACTAATTAACTAAACAAAGACATACACACACATACGAGAGTTAATACAGCGAGTCCTTAAATATATTCTGTTGAAGTTTCTTGTTGTTTTACGAAAGTTTAAAGTAAGATTAGTTGACTAAGTTGTTTTAATTCTTTTTTAACTCTTATATATTACCTGTTGTTGTTTTTACCTGAAATTAACCAGGAAGAGGAAGACATAAGTTTAATTAATTATTTTCCACACCTGATTAGATATATATTTAAGATTGACTGTGAGTAGTGTTTGATGTCTGATGTCTGATGTTTGATGTCTGATAAGTATGATGTCTGAAGTCTGATGTCTGAAGTATGATGTCTGAAGTATGATGTCTGGAGTCTGATGTCTGAAGTATGATGTCTGAAGTCTGATGTCTGAAGTATGATGTCTGAAGTATGATGTCTGGAGTCTGATGTCTGAAGTATGATGTCTGAAGTATGATGTCTGAAGTATGATGTCTGAAGTCTGATGTCTGAAGTCTGATGTCTGAAGTCTGATGTCTGGAGTCTGATGTCTGAAGTCTGATGTCTGAAGTATGATGTCTGAAGTCTAATGTCTGAAGTATGATGTCTGATGTCTGGATTCTGAAGTGGTGTGAAAGATGGATTTTTATACTTTAATGAATTATTGTTTGGGTATGAAGATAAATCATGAATTAATTATGGGTGTATTTGGGGTGCATTTTGCTCAATACACACACACACACACACACACACACACACACACACACACACACACACACACACACACACACAGGGACAAACGCGCTCTCCCTCTCTCTCTCAAGTTAGCGTGTCTCACCCGGATATAACGAGAGACAGCGTAATGAGGCGACGTCCTTTAGTTGAACCAGCGACAACCTTTCATACATGACCTCGTAAACATGAGTGGGAAATATGACTGTTTTGAGCAGAGACACTGAGAACGATAGGTTTCTGGCCCACTTGGTTCACCTGCGTAAAGCTGTGGCTCACCTGTTGCGCTGCGCTGATTAACTTAGACGCAATCAATCACCGTTCATGTCAACATTGTCTCCCACGAGGGGGTGTTGGTTGGTCTAGTTGATTGAGAGGAATGTGGTTGACATTATTTTATACACGTTGGTCACATAAGAACATAAGAATGGAGGAAACTGCAGCGGGCCATACTGGGCAGTCCCATTTACACCCAACCCCTATCGCTCATATATCCATCCAACCAACGTTTGAAGCTATCCAGCGTATTCGAGTTAATGATGATATTTGGTAACTTATTCCACTCGTCCACTACTCTATTTCCACACCAATGTTTACCTATTTCGCGCCTAAATCTAAATTTGTCTAATTAAAAACCATTGTTACGAGTTCGCTCCTGGTTGGATAGTTTGAGTACCTTTGTAATGCCCCCTTTGTTTAGCCCTGACTCCCATGTATACACCTCTATCATGTCGCCCCTCACTCTACGTCTCTCGAGGGAGTGTAAATTAAGATGCTTTAACCTGTCTCTATACTCAAGGTTCCTAATGCCCGGGATTAGTCTTGTCATTCTCCTCTGAATTCTTTCCAAGGATTCTATATCTATTCTGTAATACGGTGACCAGAATTGAACTACGTAATCCAAGTGAAGTCTCCCATACGCATTGTTTACTTGGCTTAAGATTCCTACTTATCAGGTAATTACAACAGGTGAAAAATCGTACCTTACCTGGATAAACAAAATTATCAACAAACACTAAATGACTAAAAGATACTACTGATAATACTATGAGTTATTCTATATCGTGTCTTATAGATTAACAAACAGCTGCTATAGACTATCCGCTTCGCTATAGAAAGTTAACTATCTCTCCGTATCGGTATAGAAAGTTAATCATTATATCTAACATTCTACCTTGGTTGATTGTGACGTCATGTATAGTGCAGATGTCACATTTAAACTATGACATCATGCGCAAACAAATATGATGTCATACTAAGAGGAATACAATCAATTTCTTTAAGCTCAGGTGTGTCAGGACAGTAATTAAGAGACATAATACGGTTGGAGAAGGTGATGTTCTTGTTTATGCCATAACGTCACAGTATCATGACGTCACAGTATCATGACGTCACAGTATCATGACGTCACAGTATCATGACGTCACAGTATCATGACGTCACAGTATCATGACGTTACAGTATCATGACGTCACAATATCATGACGTCACAATATCATGACGTTACAGTATCATGACGTCACAATATCCTGCTGTGACGTCTTTGTGAATTGTTTTAGGTTTTAGTCTTTGTTTAAATCGTGAATGTTTTATGCCGGTTTAACAATGGCGTCTTGTGCGTTAGAGAAAATTGACAACATTACAAAGAAACTGTTGATATAATGATGTTTATTATTGCTAGTGATGTTTATTATTGCTAGTGATGTTTATTATTGCTATTGTCAGTTATAATAGCAGTAGTTTTGTTTACCATCGTTGTGCTAGTTATTAAAATAGTGTTATTGTGTTTGATTAATAGAGTGTCGCCATTGTCTGTTTCGGTCTGTTTTGTAGACATCTGTAGACGTTCGTACACACACACACACACACACACACACACACACACACCAGACAGAGCAGACATTCCCCTATTCTATATACGAAGAAAGATTTAACCTCCTATTTAAGAGATTAATTATACTTGTTATAGTTAAAGGTAGCTAAGGTATATGATGGTTGTTTATTTATATGTATTTAAGGGTGATATTACTATGCTAATGAGTGTTATTAAGCACAGTAGACAAACCGAATATACTCCACTATAGATAAAAATGAATCACTGAATCACTATAACCGAAACAGCTATGAACTTGAGATTGTTATTGTGAATCAGTTTAGTCATTTCGAACCCCCGTATCACTGGATTAATCTTTATTCCATTGATGTTATATTATTGAAAAGGTCATTTACGTATAACCATTAAATAAACTGTACCTAAGGGGCGGTTTTCCAATTCAGAATAAAATGAGACGAGTTCCAGATACCCGCCATTTTGATGCTTGAAGGAGAAAGGTGACGTTAGCTGTGTTCCTTTAGGGTATTTTCTTTTAGCTGATTTAACTTTCCCCTGTTTTTGCGTTTTCCGCCCTCTTTTAGCTTCCCTTAGCTGTTCATTATTTAGCTGTCTGTAATTTTCTATAGCTTATTTTATGTTTGTTTTTGTTTGGAGAAGGGGGGTGGGATTTCTTCGTGTAATTAGCTTCCTTTGGGATTTTCTTCGTTTGATAAGCTTTATTTGAGATTTTCTTTGTAACCTTATTCGTTTACTAAGCGTTATTTATAATTTTTGTCGCCTTTTAAGCTTTATTTAGTATTTTTTCTTCACCTAAGCTTTACTGGCTATTTGTTTGGCATCTAGTAAGCATTATTTGGTATTTGCATCGTCTTTTAAGCTTTATTTATCATGTTTTCGTTTCCTAAGCTTTATTTATCATGTTTTCGTCTAATAAGCTTTATTTTGTATTTTTATCTTCTACTAAGCTTTTATTTTCTTCAGTAGCTTTACTCATCTTGTGGTGTTTCATCATTTAAAAGTTTTCAGCTTATTCTTATTCATTTTTTGACGTTTCTTGTCTATCTAAGCTTTTCTACAAGTGTTTTTTTTTGTCTAAGCTTTTCTCTGGCGATTCCGAATCTTTTTAACTCCAAGTCTATCTTAGGTTAGCTTAGGTTAGCTTAGGTTTGGTTAGGTTAGGTTAGGTTAGGTTAGGTTAGGTTAGCTTAGGTTAGCTTAGCTTAGGTTAGATAAGGTTAGATAAGTTTAGGTTATGTTAGGTTAGGTTTGGTTACTACAAGATGAAGCCGGGCAAGAATACCCCATAGACTTTTAACAGCAAGAGACATTAATTAAGTGTAGGGAGGAATAGGTGTAGCGCAGGTGGGTGGAGTAGGTGTAGGTAGATGGAGGGGGACAGGTGTAGGTAGATGGAGGGGGACAGGTGTAGGTAGATGGAGGGGGACAGGTGTAGGTTGATGGGGGTAGGGAGGGAGGGAGGGAGAGACGGGGATAAGGAGGAAGTGAGGGAATGAGAGAGGGAAGGAAGGAGTTAGTGAGAGAATGAGGGTATAAGGAAAGAAGGAAGAAGCAAGAGTAGAAGCGTAAGGAAGAAAGGAATTGAGTGAGAGAAAGAGAGAAGGAGGGTAAAAGAGGCCACGGAGAGTCAGAGAACGAGAGTAAAAGAAGAGAGAATAAGGAAATAAAAGAAGGATAATTTAAAACGAAAGAAAACCAGAAATTACAGATATAGAAGGAGGGAATAAGAGAAGGAAGGTAATAAAAGGATGGAAGGAATGAGATAAAGAGGAGAGACAAAGGGAGGGAACTTAAAGCAGGGTTGTAAACAGTCACTAGTAATTTAATTTTCCTTTTTTTATATATAACCATTAGACAAAATTTTGCCTTCCCATTTTGTCGCGGTCGTCTGGGTTGTTTTTCCGTTGTGTGTCATTTGGAAAACTATGATGATGACTATGATGATGACTATGATGATCTCCGTAATGATGATGAGGGGGAGGGATGGTGAGGGAGAGGAAGGGAGGGTTGTAGGGAGAGGGAGGGAAGGAGGAAGGAATCGGGGTGAGGAGGAGGAAGAAGAGAAGGGTGAGGAGAAACGGTGTGAGGGAGGGTGAGGATGAGGAAGGGAAAGGTGAGGAGGAGAGAAGGATGAGGGAGAGGAGGAGGAGGAGGAAGTAGAGAGAGAGAGAGAGAGAGAGCTGAGAAAGAGGGAATGAAGAGGAAGAAAAGTAAAAGTAAGATAAATATACAAATGAAGAATAGAAAAGAAAACATAAAAACACATTAAAATGACAGATAACAAAATAAGGGAGAAGAAGAAGAAGAAGAAGAAGAAGTGAAAAAAAGGGAGGGAGGGAGAGAGGAAGGAGGGAGGGAGGGAGGGAGGGAGGAGGAAGGGAGTGAGGTAAGAGAAGAAGGAAAAAAACCTAAATTACCAGGTAGGAGGAAGGAAATGAGGGGAGAATCAAATGAAACATGAAAAGGGGAGGGGAGAGAGAGAGAGAGAGAGAGAGAGAGAGAGAGAGAGAGAGACAGACAGACAGACACACAGACAGACACACAGACACCATGTCATATTACAGTAACCACCATCATTACTTCAAACCCTGGCAGGAAATTCCATCGTCTTTTAGAGTCAATTCGGATTAAAGGAAACACCAGTACTCGCTTACTACCCCCGTCAATAGAAGGAACTTACCTGTGAACCGTGGCTAAGGACGTAGACTGTGATGTAGACAGTTGATAGACAGACAGACAGACAGACAGACAGACAGACAGATAGACAGACAGACAGACAGGCAGATAAGTAGGCAGACAGACAGACAGACAGACAGACATACAGACAGACAAGTAGATAAATAGACAGACATACAGACAGACAAACAAGTAGACAGACAGACAGACATACAGACAGACAAACAAGTAGACAGACAGACAGACAGACAGACAGACAAACAAGTAGATAAATAGACAGACATACAGACAAACAAACAAGTAGACAAACAGACAGACAGACAGACAAGCAGACAAACAAGTAGACAGACAGACAGACAGA